CAGGAATAATCTATGAAAGTTGATGCTTGAAGGCAAAGACACATAAACATGTACGTGGTCCATCCCTCATGAAAGATGTTTCAATGGCAAAGGCAAGGAAGTTCTGTGTTCAAATAATTATTTCTCTCCAACTTCCTCTGTGTCCTTGAGCAATCTTCCTACAGCTTCAGGGTGTGTAGCTGTTTTATACAGGTGTCATACTGATTATTTATTTTTTAAAAAAACATGAATCAGATAACATATCAATGGGAACAATATGAATACCTAATATACACAGCTGCATCCTGTGAAATCTTTCTGTAGTGTCTATTATGTTTATTTCTAGAAAAGCTTTTACACGTGTTCTTGTAATCCAGCAAACAAAAGGGAACCCATTAGTTGGAACTGAAGTGGAATAAAGACTACCTTCTTTCTTTCTACCAAAGAGGAGTTTTAATGCAATATGCAGAGCCAAAGAGAACTTTGTTGACGTTTGCTCACTATTAAACTTTGACCAAATACTCCTCAAAAGTAGTATATAGTCAACAATTTGAAACAGTTATTGAAGGAATTTCTAAAAATTGAAGATAATGAAAAGCAATGGCAATCTGAACTAGTACTGATGGTCTTTTTCTAAGACACTTCCGCTACTGCACAACTTAAACATTTGAATTCAGAATTTCTCCAGTAAAGTCTAATCTACTAGGTAACAAACCCCTGTTATTGCACATTTAACTGGGAAAGATAAACTATGAAAAGTAACAGTGGAAACAAAACATTGTTACTAACATTTGCTGGCTAACAAAGCATAGTGGTATTTTCAATTATTTAATCAGATTTTCAGTATTAGTTTTGGTAAGTGTTTTATGATGTCCAGCCTTTATGGGTAATGATAAGTGAAAATGGGTTTTGGACAACCATTTTAACTTTTAAATTTCATTCATTGTTTTTACATATGCTGTCATATCAAGATCTGCAATTTTAACAAATTCTTGGAAAGTGTTTTGTTCTTGAATAGTTGCTGGTCTTACAGAGACGCACTTGAAAATGTTCCTTTTTGCGTCATAGTTTCCCATGCACCTGTGCACTCGACCTCTAATTAGTCTTGGAAGATCACGGTCCTTCATCAAAAGCATAATAAAGAAATAAAAAAATTATATCACCTAACATAAAAGCTTTCAAAATGTCTGGTTTCTAAAGAGTACATCAAACGCAGAAGGAATTTACATCAGCTTTTTTGCTATTATCAATTACTTAGAAGTTGAACTGAAAGTCCCACCTTCTTTGCTGAACTAGAATTCTAAGGATGCCTAAACAGTGTCGGGATTATTGCTCTAGACCACTTTGGGAACAATATGGTATAAGCATCCAGTTTTCCTTTTACATAGTAATTTTCTGTTTCATCAGAACAACATATTATTAGCTTCATAAAAGGGATTATAGCTAGTGAAGTCTGTGTCATGTACAGACACAGAATACTTACAATTTCATAAAATACACAAGGCAGACTCTCCTTTCCATCTCTCAAAAGAAAATTCTTTGCCCCATATGCTCCAGGTGTGACTGCAGAATCAAGTGTGCCTATACCATTTAGCAAAAATAAATCATGATGTAAATAAACATCAGAGCAGTACTAAGTACAATACACAAAGATACCATGACAACATTTACTACACAAAAGCACTAAGACGCATGAAGTCAGCATCAGCTTTCTGTGAGAACTTGTGCTGACAGCATGGGAAGTTCCAATACAAGTTATGGGCTTTACATTGTCTTTGAATAACACAACTGTACATGATGTCTCTCTAAACTGAGTGACCAAATGTGGTTTTCATAACTATCACTGTAAAGAGGTTATTCCCTTGTTAAGCAGAGCACAACACAATTCTCTAAGTTTTATTGATCTTCATATTCAAATCAACTTTAACTATTTGCAATCTTGTCAAAATAATAGTTTTCTGAGATGCCATTACATTGTATATTCTTATTCATCTTGATTTAAAGTTTAGTCATTTCACTCTTTTGTCGTGTTCATTTCTCAGATAATGTCAATTAAAATGCAAAGTGAAACACGCTAAAAGTCATCTGTGTTTAAAAGTACTCGACTTGAATTCATTCCTAGATTAACTGTATTAAAAATTACTGTAAAACAGTACCTCTCTCCAGAAGGTTCCTATTAAATAGGGAAATTTATTGTAACACATTCTAAAAACAAGGAAAGAAACAGGATAGAAAGAGCTTAAATCTTGGAGGATGACTGTATTATTAATTTTGTACCTATTCTAGTAACCTTTGATAGCTGAATGGATCTCCCAGCAGGAAAATCAGATGGGGCTCATGCCAGTATTTTGTGGTTTTAAGTATTTCAGCTATTGTTCCTACAGTTAATAACATTTTATCTTGGCTATTCTCCTACCATTATTATCAGTTATGCACAATCTACCATGCTTACCTAAAACTTCAAATAATAGCGCAGTTTTATAAGCATATTGACTCCAGTGCCTCATACTTTCAATGACTGCAGATATGATTCTCAAAGAATTCTTTTTTTCTTTAATTTTTAATTGAGATGATGAAACTTCCTTTCAGATGAAGATGAAAACTCAAGTTAGAGATACACACTCACACAATTTTAAAAGGCACATAGACATATATTATGTTAAATATCCAATATTTACATTAAAATTAGAGTATTTATTCAGACTATACGAACAACTCCCTGCCAATTTATATGACTGTGCTGAGGATTGCAGGTTATTATAGTATGAAAATCTCATTTCTAAATTTTCAGAAACTTAAGGGTTTACTAAGGCAGATAGGACTGATGAAAGCCTCATCTTTCCTCACTCTTTCTTTACTGTATCTTCCTATTAACTCTCTCCATAAGTTTACCTGACTTTTGTCCTCTGGAACACAATCAAATTGTTTTTCATTAATTTTATTTTGCTGAATATTGTGGTTAAATTTATATGCCAGACTATGATCCTGCAGACTTCTTGAAATAGTGTTAGGTTTGACTGGCCATTGTCCTTTAGATGTGTATGTTTGGGTGGTTTCTGTTGTTTTGATACGCTGAGTTGAATTATGGCCACCAGGGTTTTTTTGTGGCTGAACAGTTTTCAAACTGTTTGAAAGGCTCTCAAATTTTCGAATAACTCCACTATCAGATCTTGAATCTGTTGTGTTAGTTAGAGGAGCGTACTCATGTCTGTTCCAAACTTTAGTACTGGGAGCCTTCTCTTCTGCCCTGCAGTACAATGTAAGACATAGTTCAGTATTGCATCTATTCTGAATACTCACATATGTAATTAAAGTATATAAAAGCAACCTATGTGTTGTTGGTTTAGCTTTAAACACATCTGTTAAATATTCAGACTCAAAACACTTCAGTATGCACTTAAATTTATGCATATACAGGACAGTGATCACAGCTGTGCTTAAATGCAGCTGAATTCAATAGGCCTTAAAAGCTTGCTTAATTATTGTCCTGCTCGGTATAAGGGATCCTTCCTGACCTAAGATTCATGTCTTTTTCTAAATCTAAAATAAAATAAGCGAGTTTCTTCTGACAGTGATATTTCTGAATTCTTCTACCATTGTCACCAAAGAAGTCATTTTACAACAAACTCTAGTGCTGATCTTATTATTTCTAACACCCTTCATTTCATAAAGGCATCACAGAAATTCCTTCCACCTCCTTTCCATTTTGCCTATGAAGGCACTTGTGTGAAACATTCATTCTCTTTTGCCATTGGAAAGGAATAGGAGGAAGGGAAGAGAGAAAAAGGACAATTGTAACATTGCTGGATTTTTTTCCTGCCAGCTCTAGGCATCTGAATCTCTAAGCTTTTCCTTGGTTTATAAAAGCACAGAGTTCACAATTATATTCAGTTTTAATATACAATTGCTCTAGTGTACACTGATAGAAACTCACTTGAGTATATTGAGAAATTTGGTTTGAAAGTGGGTAAAACTTCAAGTAAAGGGGAATCTCAAAAAATTACATCTAAGACCAGCAAAATTCAATCAACTTTTATGATAAGACTGAATTTTAGGCCTGATAATAAGGTTAGATATTACATCTAATTAATAGCCCTCATTAGGTACACTGGAAAGATACTTCATTTCAGTATTTTGGCTCATAAGCACAATGGAATTATTGAGGACTACAGTGATGATCTGAGAATTAAAAAGGTCTCTCTGAATGCTACAAGAATATGGAAAAATGTAAGATATATTTTCACATGAGAATAGTTTTGGTTAAGGAAGGATAATAAAAATTAAAGACTTCACCAACCTGCAGGCATACAAGCTTTTTCCAACATTTGCTAAATTAGCGTTTGATGCATTTGGCGGTTTCATAAGGGAAGGAGCCATCTGATGTTCTGTTTGGCTTTCAAAGATAAGTTTAAAGTATCAGTGACATAGTAGCAGCTTTATTGTAAGACAGACACATGGATCACAATTTGTGAAACAAGTGGTACCCAAATAAAAACCAATAAGCAACAAATAAACTGCTTTTACATACCCGTCATTTGCTGCTTTCTGTAGTTCAGCCACTTCTGGGTTTGCAGTTCCCCAGCCTAATTCTCAAAAGACAAAGGATTGAATATGGATACAAACTGCAAAGGTTGAAAGGTAATAGGTCTGCTGAGGGCTCCTACTCTTTATCTGCTTAATGTTGCACAAATAATCTCATACAGGAAGGAGAGGGGGGAAAAAGGGAATGTGATTCTTTGATATCTGTAATTATAAGGCAACTTGTAACAAGTAGGTTGCTTCTCTAGACAACGGTTAAGTTACAGACATTAGACTTACTAGCAAAGAGACTTTTACTTTATTATAAGTAAACTTTTTCACTTTATTATAAGTAAAACAAAGAAAGTACTAAAGGCAGAATTCTGCATCATTCTTTCCAAGCACAATTTGAAGAACAGAAGTTCTCTTCTGAATTACAAGAAAGACATCTTATAAATGTTTCTTCTTGTAACACAGGACTTGAATGTTGATTGAAATCAACTGAAAACAAAAGGTCAGAGTTTCAAGAGACTCTATTTAAATGCCAGTGCTACTTCATTCTCTAACACACAAAGAGTCAAACTCCCTCTAGGCACAAAGTATAAAAAGCTCAATTGTATAGAGGAGAAAGAAATTTCCTGGAGGACATTTTTTACATAATGAACTTAAAAAAAACCCCAAAACATAAAGAATGCATATAGTTCTTGATAAAGATAATGTCTAATTTAATAAAATACAATCATAAAGTTAAGAGGTTTCTTTGAATTAGAGCCATTAAAAAATACCTTATTTACCAAATGATGTGGGAGAGAAGCTGTAAGTATGGGTCCCAGAACTGGTACCTGGTTCATTTTTGAGTGGATTTGAAGTGAGGGGCTGTCTATTTCTTTTTTTCTGATTGAACAGAGGCACAGGCAGACAACCTAAAATGAAAATTCAAATAATGCTATATCAATAGCAAAAGGATACGTAAACCACACTTAAAATATGTAAATAAAATTACTTAACAGTTATTTTACAGCACCCATAGGTATTACATTTCACAAACATGTAACAGACCAGCCATTTCCTGACATAATTTATATTCTCAGCTCTCTGTCCTGCAAATAATCCCATGAATGAAACATTCCCCTTAGTGACCAGTCACCTGACTCCATTCAATCTCTTGCTCTGTGCTGCAATAAAACAGACAACCCATACAAGTCTACTCAGAAAATGGAGGTCTAGGACTGAATACTGTACATCCTGTATGAATACTGCATGTGTACGTGTGTGTATATATACATATATAGAGACAATATAAGAGCATAATGAGATATGAAGTGTAAAGCACAAATAATGGATGGTACCTGCTGTGCTGCGAGTTGAAGTGTCAGCTAGACTCCTTTTCATTTCTTTGCTGTATTTTAATAGGCAACACTATTGATTACTCCAAATTTGCTGTACTGAAGTTAGATAAGCAGACAAAGTAAACTAATTGATGTTGTAAACACATCCAAATTTTATGTGATTTTATGGCAGTTTCTCTTAACTCTCTCTATACTCACTGACATGAGCTAACATGTACACACAGTTGTGGTGAATTTTGAAGATCCACGAGCACACAAGTAACATGCAATTGCTCTTTGTGGATTAAGGGACCAAATGATTACATTCTTGAAGTGATATTATCTACTTTTTTAAAAGTGGCTTGAAAACACTAAATTCACTTCTGAATTTAAAAGCACATATGCATTCAGATACAAGGATTTTATTTTAATTCCTGAAAATAGAATACTAATAGAAAATGCATACTTGTACATTGCTGCAAAGCATGATTGCAAGGTACATGGCTTTGAATAAAAAACCCCTGATTTAACTATTCTGTGAAAAAGTGTCATGCTTCAAAAAATAAACTTCTTTTCTGTACTTTATGGTACAAACCTAAAACCTTTAGCCAATTTTCTCATACAGAAAATAGCCTACATATCAAACTAACATTATTATCAGCCAAATATTATGAACAGAAAAAGTATATATTAGCATATTAGGTACAGGTAGCTTGCTATATTTGTTTTCTGATTAATCTGCTTCTATAGTAAATGTCTATACATTACTGTATACATTGAGGATACAACACAGACCATTGTGTAGCATTAGTTGCTATTCTATCAGTTAGTTACTGATGCATATTGCTTTCAGTGGCATATGAATAATACCACTTACTTGTGTGTATAAATAACATAAGACATTACCTCTACATTTATTTTCATTTGACAGTTGACTGCATGCAGCTATTAAACATGTGGATAAGAATTAAGCACAAGTACGTACCACAGCTGGACTAATAGATCAATTTCCTCTTTATTTCTGTGAGATACATCAATTACATGCACAACATTACAACAGCTTCTAGTACGCTGCTGTAACACAATTTAAACTGCATTGCTAGTACTATGAAGTCTAATGGCCAGCAGTAAGTGATGTACTTGTAAAATAAAGCCCTGTAAACTTGACATTTCAGTTTATGAAGCCAGTTTTGATGTTGCATAGTATTTTAGACTGTATTGTTTTGCTTTCTATCCTCTCTTAAGGATGAGCAAACCAAAACCCAGAGCTAAAGCTACAGAGAATAAAAAAGGAGGGGAAGATACCAGGGTAAACCTCTGCAGTACTTCACACCGCAGCAGCGCCAGTCACAGACTGAAAGAGCCTCAGGTCCTTGCTAGCGCCTCAAGGAGAGGGCTGAGGTGAAGCCCGCCAAAAATAACGGACCCAACGCCCACGCTCTCGCGCCTTGGTGCGTGCAAAAAGAGCGGGAAGGGGCTGGTCCCGCCCTCCTATTAGAGGCGGCAGCGCCTGGCGCAGGCGCAGTGGGCT